ATGAGATTTCTTAAGATGCGCATTGATTGGCTTTGAAATTGAGCAAGCAATCGAGTTTTATTGGTTTGAAGTTTCATGATCTCCAGATGAGGGTTATACTACCTTCCAATTTTTATTGGTTTCAACTTTTAGCAATCGAGTTTTATTTTTCGTTTTAACTTTCAAGTTTTATTGAAGAAGTTTTGCTAAATAAGATTTAATTAGTGATGTCTTCAAAAATAATCAAAAATCAGTCAACACTATTACGTAGCCAACTATACTTCGGCACGTGCTTTGCACGTGCGCTCACTAGTGTTATAAAAAATCTCAACTCTTGCTGGATTGCGCTCACTAGTGTTATAAAAAATCTCAACTCGTACTGGATTGTGAATTCACCGACTGTTCATATACATACATATAAATAGACGTGTACTTGGAATGAAAAATATGAAGATGTTGAGGTCATATCTCTTGGTGAGAAGTGAGATCCAACATTATGTCTTTACTTATCTGTACTAGTACTACTGTCTAACATTTTATGCTAGTGCTAGTTCACCAGGCATTTAATGTCTTGTGTCACACATGAGGTCCTTATCCTCCAAACCATACTTTTCGTACTTCTTGATTGTTACACCAGCTGAGGTCCATCCTAGTTAAGTTTGTGTCTAACTATTTATTGATGGTGGATACACAAATGACAGAATTGCAATAATGCCTGTTTTCTCCTGTAAGCGCTGGGGATTTATACTGATTTTGACTTTTGGTTGACTGATCTTACTCCTGCAGATTAGAAATGCAACATTTGAAAACTAGAGGGGACTGGCTAGTAATGGGTTCCTCAGATTTCTGGCAGCAAGTTTGTACGAGAATGCCTTGTTTTGTTAAACTCCATTTTAAACGACTTTATTTGGTATTTTAATTGTATCTCATCACTGTTTCTTGGCTGAGCCTTTTGTGTATACATTTGTATCTTGTTCAAAGAACTGCTAGCTAGCACTTGAAAATGGGAGTGAGGTGAACTGTTACTTATTTTTTACATGTCTCTACGTGTTGAAACTAAACGTGAGAGGAGTTTCTTGGTTTTCTTAAAGAAGATGAATTGTATTACCAAGAACAAGGTGAGATATTATGTGATAGAGAGAGATTTGCAGTTCGATGCGGACAAGCACTACCTATATCTGGTTAACTTCAGGTAGCATATGATGCCTTAGTCGAAGATAAGTTCTCTTGAATGACCCATAAAAATATAGGTGTACCCTAAGACGAGTATGGGATTTGACAGTTTTATAAGGAGATGAAACAATGAATAATATTAATTAGGCTCTGCACATGGGCTACATGGATTGCTTAATAGCCATAACTGATTGTTTAAAGTCTGCCTAATATATGCTTCTTTTGTCGACTGGAAACATTGTGAAATCTCGAGGGAATAAATGCGCATTATTACTGTTAGAAATCTCCTCAAGGAAATGACTAGCAAAGGAATGCATTTGACAGCCACAGGATTCCTGCATTTTGTGGCATATAATGAAGCAACTCTTGGATATGCTAACTCAGTTTCCCATCGTTGTACTTTATTGAAATTAATATGTTTCCATGCAAGTTGAAACATATCACACCAGTGAATAACTGTATTCATAGGTATTTTTCGAGCTGTGCTATCACATGGTATGATTTTATTTGTCCATAGCGCTTTTATCCTGGTTGAGATATATGGTGACGATGCCTACTCGCAGTCAGCACGAGTGTCCTTTGGTGCTCGTTAGGTGCTAGATCCGTTGGTGCCCTGAATATAGTCATTGGGAATAACAAGAGCATCTCTCGATACTCAAAGTTTCATCTCCAAGGAGAGTTTTCAAGAAATTGCCGAGTATTAGCAAAAGTAGCTCTCTAGGGATGGATCTACCGTTCGAGTTTGTATGCCCATATAGTCCTATGAAATGAAAATTCAAAATATAAAATTGTATTTTTTGTTGCTTGTAATGTTCCATGGAAATCCAAATTATTCTAGTTAAGTCTCATCTATCACATGATAATGCAACGCCTTTTCACAATAAATTAAAATATTGTATTTTTTGTAAGATGAAAGACCCGTGCGTGGGTTCGGTCTAGAAAACATAACCTTTGTATATTGCCTTCTGATCAAATCGATGCTCCTTTTGCTTTGCAATTGTTATATAAACCTCAGGATCTGTTTTCATATTAAAATATGTTTTTCATATTATTCCAAAGTTTTCTTGATTTTTTTCGCTGGTCGCACAAAAAAAAAAAAAAATATAACAAAAAATTAAAATTGTTGATAGAGAGAGATCCCAAGGAAATTGCTTTTTAACCTTGTCTAATATTCCTTTCCTTTTTCAAATACATCGGATGTTGGATGTTCAATCTTAGACTTCAATTTCAACGTGTTGGATAGATTGTGGCACCGTCTCCATGGGGATGCTTTACAGTATTCACTATTTTACAATATCATACTTATCTAATCGATTTTTTGTATCAGTTCTACTAAAACTTTTGTGATTCGTCTTAAAATTCTCTACCTATTCGACGATGTTAAATATCACGTAAACCTTATCAAAAGGCAATTTTAATGGGGCTGATTTTACTCTTTTACAATCAATTTTCCGATTTTCATGTTTGATTTTTATATTATGTACGACCATACCTAAGGCATGTAGGTCGAAATAGATTCTTCTTTTTCAATTCAAATACCTTCCCAAATTGTACTAGTGGCAGCATGGACTATGAATTCTTTTTTCTCAGTTCAAATTAAGGTGTCATCTAATCAACCAAAAAAAAAAAAAAAAAAAACTCGAAATATCTTCTCTCGAAAAGAGGGGAGTTGCGTTTGAGTTTAACTTGCAGACTGAAGTTGTTAGTATTCGATGATCATTTCGTCCTAGAAGAGGTCTTCCTCTAATTCTATGAACTTTTGTAGAATATTTTTAAATATCATATAAAAACGAAAAAGAAAAATTCAATATTTTCTCTCCCAAGAGATTTTGTTTATGCACTCTCCTCTAGATCCAAGAATAGCAACATGTACCAAATGCCCTGCCCTGTATACATGCCAATCATATTGTCCCAAGGAAAACAATATGTAATGTTTTTTTTCACCACTCCAATCCCTTCATCAATTAATTATGCAATAAAACTTCAATTTATTTTGTCGAACTTTTCCAAACATCACAAAGACTAGTGGACAGCGTTTGTCGGATGCATATAAAATCATAATTGAGGTTGGTTTACGGTTGTAAGTTAATTAAAAGCCAGATATTGAGTTGAAAAAAAAAAAAAAAAACCAGTATTCCACGTTATTAATTATTTCATCTTTTGTCCCTCAAATTAAATCTCAGTCGATGAAAATTTGAATCTTTTATTTAGCACAAAATCAATAATGAGAATTACAAATATATATTAAATTTGTGTTTAATAGTAGGATTTAAGTTTTAGACTACAACAAAATAGGAATTTAGAAGTGATAACAATGATGATTAAGGTGTATTGTATAGATCTTAAAATAGATGTAGCACTAAATTGAACCAAACATGAAAATAAAAATATAAAATTCAAGAAAATGAACTAAACGTCTGTAAAACTTCGAGTTCATCTTTGGCTTCTTTCTTGGCCCCACCTTGATTGCTAAAAATACAATATTTAGCCCCTATTTGGTGTACCTTAAAATCTATTAAAAATTTCAGGTAAAAGCTAACAATTAATTTTAACAATACATTTTATAGGATTCACAATTTTCAATCACACATTTCATAAACTTTCATCAAAATATACTAAAAATCTGACTTAATCTACACCAAATATGAATTTAGTAGATTTTGATAAAATTTGATGAAATGTGTTGTTAAAAAGTAGATAAGAATTGTTGATTTCACGAAATGTATGATTGAAAATGAGTTTGAGAAAACATGAATTGTAATAAAAAAAGGGTCAAACAGAGACTTTCAAATATATTATGCAACGCACACAAACATTCCTAACTTTGGATACAATAAACCCCTATTTGGTATTGATTTAAATTAAAATTTTAATGTAAGTCAAAGTCAATAATTCATTTTAATCACATATTTTATGAGTTTCATAACTTTTTCACCACATATTTCATCAATTTCTATCTAAATTTACTAAAAATATTATTTTAATCCCCACCAAATAGAGGCTAAATTTATACAATCTCTTATTAGTAGAGGGTACAAAAGCAACCATGAGTCAAAGAAACAATACACTGATTAGAAAATGACGAAGAGTATAACCAGAATGTACAAGATACAATTATTTAACTTTTACGTTGTACTTGTCTTCGAATAAGTAAAGTTTACTTTTATTGTTTCTTTAATGTACTAAAAAAAATATTACTAGCCCACGCACGTTTGCATGCACACACTGTTTGTGGAGAAGAGAGAGTTGAAAAAGAAACAAAAATTTTAATTTGCAATGAATTATGACTAAACATATAAACTAGATTCTTTCTTCTCCCTAAATTCCACTTTATATTTATTTTTCCCCAAGTCACTTTTTGTTTTTGCTTTGCCTTTGTTTACCACCATCAACGCTTCTCTCTCTCTCTCTCTCTCTCTACAAAGGCAAAGGCGAGATCATCTACCCACTATTCTCTCCTCTCACATTTTCACCATGACTGATAATCCCTGCTCAAATTTCTACACAGACCGGTACAGATTCAACCCTTTACACCATTTTTCTACTAAAAGTCCTCCTCATTACCTGATGAATAATCCATATATTCACGACTTGTATTCATCAAATAGTCCAACCCCACCTTCTTCATCTCCTGTGAGAGAAGCTCTTCCACTTCTGAGCTTAAGTCCCACAATAAATAATGAAGAAAAACAAGAGCCCTCTTGGAATTCAGCCATGGATTTGGACAAAAACAAAGGGGCAGAAGTTAAGGTTACTGCTGATGATAATGAAGAGGTTACTGTTGCTCTGCACATAGGGTTACCAAACCCTAGCGCTGCTGATCTGGCATCTATACTCTCTGAAACCACTGCTAAAGATGAAGAACCTGATGTTTCAGGTTATCCTATCAACAGACTCAATGGACAATACTGGATACCTACCCCTTCTCAGATTCTTATAGGTCCAACACAGTTTTCATGTTCTGTTTGCTTCAAAACCTTCAACAGATACAACAACATGCAAGTGAGTTCTGCAAATATGTTTAGATACACTGAATATTTTTCTAGTCTTTGATTTCCCCATTTTTAAGTAGATGCCAAGAAAACCTTAAGGTGGGAAAAAGATTGCAGTTAATTATGGGAGTATTCAAAGTTGTAAGAGAATTAGACTTCGAGGATTTCTTTTTCTTGTATTGAATGTCCCATAAAAGTTTATTGTTTTTTCATTTGAGTTCAATCTCGGTATATAGCATGGGTTGTGGGAGGTTTCAATTATTCAGGCTGATAATCGATCTGAAACTGAGATTAGTATTCTTTCATTTATGTGATTGAACAACTCAGGCAATATTACTTATGTTTTTAGCCCTCTTTGAAATCTGTGCCTTACAAATGGTTAACTCTGTAAACCACTGAAACTTCAAAGTTTATCAGAGAGACAGATTATCTTTGTAAGGAAGAGAGAATTTCCACTAGTGTGTCAACTTTCAGCCTGCAAACAGATCGATTTACAGACTTGAAAAGTACATGCCTAAAACTTCCATCGCTTTATAACTTTGAAAGTTCTCTTTTCTTCCGGTTTAGATCTTATGAAAACAAAGAATCAATAATGGTATCTAATTAAAGTCCTTAATTAATAGGAGAAAATAGACTCACTATTTGAAAGAAATTAACCACAATTTTGGGATCAACGATTCTTTGTTGGACTCATAATCTTTATCAAGAAAGGTATTCTACGTGAAGAATTATGCTCCTCCTTATAAAATGGACCTATAGAATTCACATCTCTACATCTTCTTTCTACTTATTTTCTTTGTTTTTCTGTGGTCTGAATAATTTTGATTATCTGCAGTTTTGATTATTTAGGTTGATTGTAATTTGTGATTCTTGGACAGTTCATATCATTCTTTGACTTTTAAACTGTTGACATACCTCGTCTAAAAGGTTAAACTAACCGTGAGAGGACAACTTTAGTTATATAATACATTCTTCAACACGCCCCTGAATTTTGACTGATATTCAAGACAACACTATAATCTGTATCTAAGAATTTTGATTTTGCTGCAGATGCACATGTGGGGGCATGGATCACAGTATAGAAAAGGGCCTGAATCTCTGAGAGGTACTCAACCAACAGGAATGCTAAGACTCCCTTGTTATTGCTGTGCACCTGGCTGCAAAAACCACATTGACCATCCAAGAGCAAAACCCTTAAAAGATTTCAGAACCCTTCAAACTCATTACAAGAGGAAGCATGGAACCAAGCCTTTCATGTGTAGAAAATGTGGCAAAGCTTTTGCAGTGAGAGGAGATTGGAGAACCCATGAAAAGAATTGTGGTAAACTTTGGTATTGCATTTGTGGTTCTGATTTTAAGCACAAAAGATCCTTAAAAGATCATATTAAAGCTTTTGGGCATGGCCATGGAGCTTTGGGCATTGATGGTTTTGAAGAAGAAGATGAACCTACATCAGAAATTGAACAAGATGATGAGTCCATGCAGTGATAATAATTAAATAAAACAAAATGCAGTAATTAAGCTTTTCCAAGAATATCTCAATTTTAAGAGGCAGATTTTGCAGGATTTTCTTGGCAATGTAGGGGAATAATATATGATGAAACTTAGATTACATTATTAATCAAGCTCAGCTCGAACTATTTTCTTGTAAATTAATTACGTACTCCTTTTGAGTTTCAAGTATTCAGATGATGCTTTTGTTTTTTTAAATGCTTGATTACTCCTAGAATTCTCAATATAAAGTAAAAACTTTGTCAACAATTTGTTCATCTTTTTAGTAATTTGAAAAAAAAAATTAACTTTAAAGGCAGTAGACGTGCATGGGAACAAAGGCCCGTAAAGTACGGCAATTGGCAAAGTTAGTAACTAAAGTAATTTGTAAAACATTAAAGGATTGAGAATCATGTCGTAAAACTAAATGAAAAGGATATACGTCTAATTTTAAGTAATTTAATTGGACATTAAGGTTAAACTGTTCTGTATATGACAACTAAAGAAACTTGATGTTTGCAATCACTGTGCAACATAAGTGTGAATTAGCAAAGGATAACTTGTGAAGGAGAAGACAATTTTTTTATATATTTGATATTTATCCTATTAAACATTTTTTTAATTATATTAATTTTTCAAATCAAAACAAGTGTGTGTATGTTTCATACCTAATCAGGAAGAAGTCGTGTTTTACGTAGCCTTGTAGGTAGGCAAATAGTTAGCGGATAAAAAGCATTAGAAAGTGTATATTTGGTTCAAAATGTAGGATATATAAGCATGCCTTTATTCCTATGTTATAGGTTTCCCTATCAGCTTTTGGGGTGCATATGGTTCCCTTTTTTTTGCTTTGGCTAGTGGAGATTTGTAACACATACCGTTTGTTCTATGTTTAGTTCGTCGAAAAACAAATTTTTAGTAAGTTTTGATAAAGTTTGATAAAAATATGTAATTGAAAAGTTGATAACATTTGTAAATCTCATGAAACATATAATTAAAATTAATTATCGTCTTTGACTTAGAATATTTTATCAACTTTTAAGCTAAACCAAACAGGAAATTAAACACGCCTTTTCAATTAATTCATAGCAAATGATTAGCCCAAGCTTGTCTAACTGTGTGTCTACTGCGTTACATTGAATTAAGCAACATGTACATCTTTGATTGACACTAAGGGTAACATCCCCTTAGGTGGAATGAATCTCGACAATGATATGATGGATGTATTTAAAATTAATAGTGTAGATTGCTATCACATAGAAGGGTGTCAAACTTATTGTCAACTATGGTGTACATGTAGTATGATTGCATTACATTAATATAATTTTCTATGAGCTAATTTCTCGAGGACATTGCATATTTAAAGAATAATATTATCTAAGATCAGTGGTGCTACAACATTAGTATAGATGATTATATTTTATATATTCAATTAAATAAGTTATATGATATTGCATTTAAATGAATATATAATTTAATATCATGTAATTGTCATCTAATTTAGTACTTAACACGAGTGATGATGAATAACCTTACTAATATTTGGAACAATAATGCTATTAATATTATTGGTATTATAACATTTGCTTAGATGACATAAAATATCATTAAATCAAAAGCTTAATTAAAGAGTGTTGATGACTAGGAATGAAGTAGCAAATTTAGATCAACTTAATAGAAATATAGAATAATGATTGCTGGAATTGTATCAAAATATAAAATAATTGTATTAAAGGAACGATTTCACGGTGTTTTGATGAATGTCTTGGGTCTTTCGTAGTAGAGGACCGTTTGTCCCTATTTATAGGTAAGAAGATTACACCACTTGTCTGCCCAAAGTCATTTCAGCTATAGTCGGACCTAGGAATGCTTGCCATAGCAAAAAAAATATTGGTCCCCTAATTGGTTGCTGATGTCGGTCATACAGATCATTGTGACATCTAAACCGCAACTATGGCATCAGGTAATGATTACCCGATGTTGAGTAATTATTACTGGCTTGTAATTGACCAAAAACAAGGTGTTGACGTCACAATTGTAACTTGTCATTCTCGGAGTGATTGATGGCTAGGTGACAATTTGTTAGTGATGGAGAGTCATGATGTTCCTTCCAATCACAGTTGCCATTGTCCGAGCTGTACCTCTATTTTTATGTGTTCGACCTTCCATGACCAAATTTGATTAGAGTTGGACAAAACTCTCGAACCAAACGATCGAATCGAACTCGAACTGAATCAAGAACTACTGAACCAGAACCAAATATTTCTAATTTTTATATTTTAAATAAACCAAATTATTTTTTTTTTTCTAAATAAATTTGCTGACTAATTAATTTAACCCAAACCTAAAATATGATTTTTCTATTTCTAATTTTCAGCCCAACTCCAATTTATCAAATTGACCTAAATTTTACCCAAATATCTTTTTCTACCGTAATGCTGTTTTTGTTTTTCTGGAGAAATTGAATTAAAAGCCTCATTTTATTATTTTGAGCTCGCTATCTTTCTATTTCTGTGGTTTTAGCAGCCATTTTATGAAGAACTCGAAAAAGAGAAGCGCAAAAGATATCACGGGATTGGACATCGTTATTAGTAAGAGCTAAAATTGAACATATCATTAGTTGAATTAATGTAGTGTTGTTGTAAATATTAAAAAAATTAATTATTGTATGGTACCCGAGAATCGAATGGAACCAAATCGAACCTGAATGGTTCTATAATTAAATTTGGACATGACGGTACACCTACTAAATACTCGAAAATTCGAGTTTGGTTCGATTCTCTTTAGAATCGAACCGAATCGGACCATGTCCAACTCTAATTTTGATCCTCCAATCCTTCTTAGTAAGATGAGAGATCAGACATCAACAAAGAGTAATAATATTTAGTACCATAAATATTATTAAATCAGTGTAGGTGGTATGAAGTGACATTAAACGAAAGATATAATTAAATGAGTTACACAACTCTACCTTTTATTGAACATATCATATAGTATTACTTAAATTGGTAAAAAAATTACTATTCCAAAACTCATTTTCTTAAAAAAAAAAAAAAACTCATTTTAATAGTTGTCAAATAGGAGTGAGTTTCATATTCTCATAAGTAGACATATCACTTATTGACATTTAAGCTTATGTTATAGACTTACTAGTGCTAAATAGCATTATTTTATTTGAAAAGGGTTCGGAGCACATTGGGCTGTGATTAAAAAAGTGAGCAGTTAAAACTTATTGTTGATAAACTAATTTTTTATGTTTAAAATTATGTTGGGCAAATTTTAAAAAGGTTTGGACGAACTTTATCATGTAGTTACTTTATTTGATTTTGTAGCTTTGTTTAGAGTAGGTTGTGATTCATGTCAATTTATTACCAGAGAAGAAATAGAGTGACCCATTCTTGCATCTTGTGCTAGCTTAAGTATGCATTTAATTCGTTGGACAAATCGTATTGACCTATTATTTGGAATGAAATCTTTCTCCTTTTCAAAAGAAAAAAAAACTAACGTTAGGAGAAAGCATTCTTTAAACACTTTGGTATCCGTCCTCAAAGCCAAGAATGATGGCAGTCTTGGGAGGAAGGAAGCATGGACCGCAGAGGAAGTACTACACAACAAGCTGCAAATTTGTGGAGCCAAAGTTTTTGGTACGAAAACTCTAGCTTGGAACATACAATACATACATACAGTGCACATACAATCCTTCTGACATACTACTGTAGCTGGAAGTGACATCCCAATATCACTCTTTGAATCTCCCCCCCCTCTCCCTCTCACACACACACTCTTTCTCTCTCTCACACACAACATACATTTTGGATTGATGACAAGAACAATTATGATAGTGGGGAATACTATGAAGGCACTTGGGTTTTGTCCAGATAACAAATGGATCTGATAAATGATATATCTGGTGCATGTATAAAGTTTAAACCCCTGACTTCTGAAAGGACAAATTGACCAGTGTCAATTCAAGTCCTTGTCGGCTCCTCCACCATTCACTCTTCTTCTACAACCCACTGTTATACCTACCATTATAATCTTTATTTGGTCATAATACCAAAATCGACACTTCCCAAGGATAGTTGTCGTTTTTCTAGTATTAAGGCCTGTGTGTACTAAAATACCAAGGCCCATTCTTGATCAGTACATTACTTTTTCCCATGAAAATAAAGTAAGCATTATTATACGTATCTTCATGGAGACCACTCCTCCTAACTAGAAGGAATTATGCCTGTATTTATATATTCATATTCCTACACGAAGGAGACAGCTTTGTCCCCCGTCCGAATCACCTTTAGTACACAATTTCTCATCCCAAGAATAGTTAGAAGAAAAAAGGGTTGTGCTATGTGTACACAATGGTGTGCACATAACTTAATTAAAGAAAAAACATTATAAATCAGTTCAAAAAGAGGAGAAATAATGACATACAAAAACGCGTATAATTTTCAGTTCGTGTATCGATTCACGTGAATGAGTGCAATTCGAAAGCGTTTTTAGTTCTTTTAGGCCCTGTTTAATGGGCTTTAAATTCCATGGAACTTCGAATTTAAGTTCCATTTTCCACAAATGACTTGTTTGATGTGTAAAATTAGGATGGAAATTGGTTTTCTTGATCTACACCCATGCGCCTTGTTTTTCCTTATTTTGGGCAATTAAAACAAATTTCATAACAAATTGTAAAAAAAAAAAAAAAAATTAACTTTAATGGAAAATTTTCATGTAAAACAAAGAAAAACGAACACTAAATTTTTTCGAACCAAACCGATCGAATCGGACTCGAACTGAATCGAGAACTACAATAACAGAACCAAATATTTCTAATTTTTATATTTTAGATAAACCAAATTATTTTATTTTTTTCTAAATAAATTTGCTGACTAATTAATTTACCCTAAACCTAAAATATGATTTTTCTATTTCTAATTTTCAGCCCAAGTCCAATTTATCAAATTGACCTAAATTTTACCAAAATATCTTATTCTACCGTAATGTTGTTT